TGGGAAAATCGCAACCTTGGAGGTTTTATGTGCATGTGTTGCATTTAATTATGTTTTCCAAGCACTGAATGCCAATGTTCTTCTGACTACAGACAAATCAACTTGTCTTTCATTGATATTAATATCAATAATGCAGCATCAAAGGGAGGAAAACAATGATGAAATGATGAACAAAGTCACCAATAGTGCATGTAGGCGAGCGTAAAAAATATGAAATGAGTAACAATGCCACAAAGTGAAAACCTATTGTTATACAAAGTAAGAAAACTGACAACTGGAATAATGAACAAATACTTTTTGGTATTTCAGGAAAAAAATGTTACCTTGAAAAAGAACATTTAAAACTATCTGATTGATTAAATATAGAATACCTGTATCTTATAAAGGGTGCCTCACATTTTCAAATGGGAAGAGTAAGGCCCCAGTGTTCTGCTTTTGAAATATACTATAAGTAAAGAATCATTTCAAGCACTTCACTCAGCTTTAATCATTAAATATCAGTTACGAGATACTGTTAAATACACGTCAGTTTGAATATATTTATTATTTATTTATTTATTCTAACACTCATACATCACTGTTGATAATGTCCCATAGCTTACATTTTACATTTATAGTTTTTGACAGGTGACAAGAGTTTCACCAACCACTGTCTCTTATGACTGCTGATTGGAGGAAAGCGTTTGTTTGCCCTTTTCACAACATTCAAAGTACAATCAAAATAAAGGAACAACCTCTATTTTTCTTTCTGCAGGAGCATTATTTTTATCAGTACACGCAGCCCTATGACCCCTTGTGTTTTGTATTAATACTTGAGCTTGACAAAGCTTTAACGTTATTTTAGTTCATTTTGTAACTGAACTGGTTTCTTTATTATGTTTCTCCTATACAAACAAAACCACCACTATATAACATTTGTGTAAAATTGATAATACAGTTTTTTTTATTTTATTACTTTTCAAGGTTGAAAATAGAGGCTTAACTATTCAAGATTGACCCTAATGCAGACAAACAATGTCCATTCAAATCTTTATTTTCTATTATTTCAAACACACAATAATTATGCACTGTTAATATACTGAGAATATAGAATATAGTGTGTATACTGAGAATTCTGGTAAGTAAACTTCACAATAGCTCAGCTATAATTCAACTATGTATTCTAAATAAACACAATAATGCATCGGTACCATTGAAATTTAATAGATCATTCCAGAAATCTACAAAAAAAATGAAAAAATGTCCTCAAACATGACTACCTGGTCCTTTAATTTGTACAGGAGTACACAGCGTATATGGAGCTTTAGTTACTGCCACTGAGCAAGAGCTAAAATGGGCGTGCGTCTATAGCTTTGTTTTATATTCACAGTAACCACCAGATGACAGCATTGCACTTCAGAGTTATGTTTGTCTCATCTAGCCTCATGTAACCTTCTGTCCTACAGCCTGCTCCCTGGAATGATGGTACAACATGCACACTCAGGGTAAAAGGATTACAGTGACTCATTACGGTAACATCAGCATACAAGTGTCAGATAGTGAAGTTAAATCCTAATTGGAAAACATCTGATCACAGACAGACCGAAATTATGACTCAAAATATAAAAGGAATTTGGGGGAAAAATTTTCAGGTAGGTCATAAGTTATATTGTACAGTAGGATCAACCTTCATGTTATTAGTTTCTTGGAAAATCTTCTTAATAGTGTGAATCATTTCATGAAATTACATTTATATTTATAGGCTTGAGACATTCCTCTTTGATAAAGCTTATAGTTAGGGCTGGATCAGGTGAGTCCTGCACCCTTAGTTATGCTGCTATAGGCCTAGACTATCGGGGGATTTCCCATGGTGCACTGAGCTCCTCTCTTCCTCTCTCTTTCTGCACTCATTCATGTCCCATTAATGCATGTTACTAACTTCACTTCTTCCCCGGAGT